AATCAGAGAGCACCATGAAGAGACCAAGTGGTTGGCTAGATGTGCAGGGTATCAAGGTGAAGGAGGAAGATGAGAGAGAAATCCTGGGGCTGTGGTCTGAGCAGCTGGGAGGATGGTAGTGTCTCTCACAGCACAAGGAAGTAGGGCCGAAGAGATTCCTGTGCAGGAGACAGAGGACCCAGGCAGCCAGCTGGCCATGGAAAGGGCTGGGAAACAGCCGAGCTGCCTGCAACAGGTCAGGAGACATTCGCTCTGGACTTTGTCCTGCCTCAGTCCGATGGACACGAGATGGGGCGGTTACCACTGTGAGCAACTGGGAGTCCATATTGACGGGAGCCATTCGGGGGCTATTGTGCAACCTGAACCCTCTGGTTAGGGTCTGAAGGCCAGAACCTATAGAGTTGCCTTCCCCAACCTCCTGCCACCCTGGCAGCTCATGTGGGCCACCCCAGCCTCAGAACGAACCTTGAATCAGAAAAGCCAGGGGACAGTGACTTGTCAGGCAGCTGAAGTCACAGGTGGCCCGAGGGGAGGTGACCGGAACACAGAAGGCATCTGCCACAACAGCTCATCGCAAAACACCCGACTTCTGTTCCCAGTGGAGAAGACGGTGGCAAAGCTCGGAGAACAGTGCCACCAGGGGCTGGCCTTAGTGTTCAGATAGCCTGGGCCCTGCTTCAGGTGCTCGGCCTTCCAGCCACAAAGTAAAAATGTACCGATGAGGAAATGATCAGAGAGTTCAAACACGGCAGGCCTGGGATCAGGCCCTAGACCTGCCGGAACCCACTGCTCTCTGACTGCTGTGCTATTTATTAGCCCAGGCAAGAGCCTGGGGGTCAGTGTAGAAGGAGGGAACCCAATTGTGGGACAATAGACAACAGAGGGACTGACCCAGAGCAGCAGTCCAAGTGTGCAGAAGGGCCTGCCCTCTTCAGCCATCCCTCAACAGACTCTTGTATTTGGCCAGTATTTCCAGGAGTGGAATGAGTGAGTAGCCGACTCAGGACCGGAGCCAAGGGTCAGGTTCCACACCAGAGCCCCTGGAGGCAGCAGGAGTTAATCTAGAAAGCTTCCTGAAGGAGGCCAACCTGGACATCTGAGTTAAGTAGCAGATTTCTGAGGTCAGTGAGGAGCCAGAATGGTGCCCATTCCACGTCCAAGAGAAGTGCTCCAATGTCAGGAGCAATGCACACTGGCAGGGTCTGACCACCACAGTAGCAACTGACAAGGTGGTCTTCCCAGCGTTTGGCTCACACCTCCTGGGGTTTTTGCTTCTTCAGGCATATGTATGTGCATTATTATCCTCTTTGATCCTAACAAATGAGATTTGAAATAATGTAGCAATGAATTTTAGTTTCCATCCTTTTTTCCTTCTTTGCACCTTATGAGCAAGGGGTGTGGGTGGAAAGAATGTAATCCTTTCTAATTCACAAGTGAACTGCTGCATAGAGAGGTCTAGTGAATATCCTTGGGTCACACAGCTCAGCATGCTAAAACTAAAACACAGCACACAATCCTAATCAGATGGCTGTGCCTTGTACTTCCCTTTCATCTGGATAAGTGGTACTAAGCCCAGGGCTTACAAATTTGAGAAGCACTGAAAGAGCTACTCTGGGAACCAGTCCAGAGCAGACTTTGGGGCCAGAATCTTGCACGGCTACCTTGAGTCCCTGAGTTAATGTGTAAACAGCTTAAGTACCAACACCAGTACTACCCCCCTTCTAAAACAGGCCTCCTGATAAGCTGGACTCTCTTCAGTAGATCCACGTAGATGTGCCCTGGGAGTCTTTGAGATCTTCTGGACTGAATTCATGTTCCGGGGACCAGGAATTTAGCCAGAGGCCTGACACTCAACTAGAATGGCATGGTGACTTGCAGTGTCACACAATCTTAAATTTGGTCCCAACCTCACCAGTTAGCAGCTAATTGTGAGTGCATGTGTGTACACACACACACACCATCATAACCTATTATTTTTTTCCATATTTTTGTTGGTGCATTGTAATTGTACATAATGGTAGGATTCATTGTTCCATATTCATACATGCACACAATCAATATCACGCCCCAGTATATCCCTTTCCCTCCCCTGTTCGCTCCACTGGCTCCCTTTCCTCTACTCTGCTGACCTCCCTTAGATCTTCATGCCAGTCCTCCCCAACTTCCTTTTCCTTTTTCCTCTCTCGCTTCCATATATGAGAGAAAACATATGACCCTTGACTTTCTGAGATAAGCTCTTCTTTTAAATAACTGCCCACCACTCACTGCGGTGGGCACCACAGCCCTTCCCTCCACTGAAGGAAACCTTCCCCAAGCAGGAAACCAAACCAAAGGGGAAGGGAGTGGTTTTTTGTTTTTTTGTTTTTTGGTTTTTTGGTTTTTTTTTGTTTTTTGTTTTTTTTTTGGGGGGGGGTCTCCCTGCCCTAGGGAAAAGATCAAGTGACTCTATTTTTTAAAGCCAAAAATAGGAAATGGTGACCTCTATAGGATTGGAAAGGTAGTGCAGGGATTGAACACCTGCTAGCTTAGCCCACCAATGAAGCCAGCTGACTGTCCACTCCTTATAATTAGTTTAATCCTTAAAAGCTACCCTGTGAAGTAGCTTTGCTCTCTCATTGGACAGATGAGGAAGCTGAAGCTCAGAGAGTTTCAATAACTTGCTCAAGTTCTCATAGCTAGCAAGTGTCAATGCTGAGCAGGGGCTTACCATTTCACTGCCATTTTTTTGTGCTGCCATAGAAAGAAACTGGAAGAGGTACCTTTAAGGGAAGGAGCCTGAAATGCTCCTAAACAACTGTTATTGTGGTCCTTTTCTTCCCCTCCTTATTCCCCACCCCCCTCCCATCACTCCTTTTTCCTTTTCCTTCTTCTTCTGTTAACTTCTTTTTCATTGTCATTCACACTTAGGTCAGACTTAGAAGGGAAAGAGAGGATAACGTCCCCCTAAGGCTAGTTAGGAGGTAGTAACAGGGGCCAAAATAAGATGCCAAAGAAAGAGATGAAAATACCTGATTCAAGTCTTAAGAGTCTAGACTTATTGGCCTTGGACAGGTTACATCCCCTCTCTCTGGCTCAGTTTCCTCTCCTATGAAATGGTAATGATGTAGACACCATGTCATAGAGTCACGAGGATTCAGTGTTGCGCTAGGTTAGAGGTGCTTACCATATGGTCACCACATGTCAAAAATTAGAACGATTATCAATTCTCCCTCATAGGCTTTTCTCTGTCCACATCTTCCGTTTTAACAAAGGCAAAGAAAATATATAGGCATGATCAGATGTATAAAACGATTGTAGTTTAATGGAGATGAGAACCCAGAGTGGCAAGGAGAAAGAGCCCCTCAGCGCTGGTCAGGAGAGGTTTCCAGGAGTGCAACTCTAGGTAGAACCTCAGTCTAAATCTCATAGACTACCTAGGTGAAACGCCAGAATCCCACTTAGCCTGACATTATAGGTTCTCAGAGCTTCCATCATGGGGTGCAGGAAATTCTGTGAGCAGGGAGGAGCCAGCAGGAGTCTTCTCCATATTAAAGCCCCTCTGTACCCAGAGTTCTGTGTCTACTGTGGTCTTATCTCCAGGAAACTTTGTTTGGTACACCTGCCTGCATGATTCTTATAGGGATCTAGAGAACAGAACTAGCAAAGGCTTGAGCCTTTCATATGGCTTCCAAAAGCAACCTGGACCTCCTGGTATCCCACATCTAAACAAAGAGCGGACTGGGCTCCTTATGCACATTCTCCTAAAAGTAAAGGACTTCCCCCTATGCTGCGCTCCGGAATCCTCGGAGCTGCACCCCCAAGTTCAGAACCCCATTGACCAGCTAGTTTTGCCAGATCTGCGAAAAGGTCCAGTAGCTGGCCCTTCCCAAGGGCAACTGCGTGTTCCCCTGTCTTTCTTGGCCAAGGTCCTGCGGGGAAGGAGTTGGAGAAGCAAGATAGCCAGCCCTGCAGTGATCCCTATTCCTGCGGCTCCTCCCGGTGGGGGCAAACACAGCAGCGAGTTTCTGCCACACTGCAGCCCGGCCCGCACCTGCTGCATTCCCCTGAGAAGCCAAATCTTCGCTGGGTAAGAGCAAGATGGGACGCAGAGCTGGGAAAGGGGGGACACGGGAGGAAGAGGACAAGGAGGGGGTCTAGGGTCTGCAGATGCTCTCTGGCAGCGTGGTAATAATAGCAACACGTCTCCCGCGGGGCTGGATCCCGCTTCGGGCCTGGGATAGCTGCTATTGATTGTTTCCTCTTTGCCTACTTCATTATGTTGGCAAGAGCCTCTCCTGAGCACTCCTCAACTTGTGCTCCTTCCATCTCTCTGGGCCCCGGCAACACTCAACTGAGTTCTGCAACGGGGTTCTGGTTAGTAAGTTGGGCTACACCAAAGAATGGGGTGTTTTCCTGGTGGGGTGGGGGTCGAGGCCAGGGGATTCAACTGGACGGCCAGCGAGCTGGTGGGGGCGAGCAGTGCGCCTGCTGGCTCTGGCCCCCACCGGGCCCTTTAATTCGAGTTCGCTGCCGGGCCAGGTGCGGCGCTGCGTGGCGCGGTGCGGCGCGGTGCGGCTGCGGGCGGCGGCCGGGCGCTCCTTACGCGCCGCCCGCGGGACTGCAGAACCGGCTCCCGGCTGGCCGCCCGCACCCCGCCGCCGCCGCCTCTCGTGCCGGGGTCCTGCCGACGCTGGCCGTCACTGAGAAACATGGAGACTCCGGTGCCAGGTCGGAAGGGTAGATCAGTGTCGGGATATTGGCCTGAGTGGTACCTCCCCTGCCCAGCTGCGGCACCCAGAAGGGTTGCAGGGCACCCGGCGGCGCAGCCTGCAGCGCTGCGGGGTCGGGCTGGTCCCCGGGAGGGTGAGCCGGTGCCAACCCCGGATATCTGCCAGTCGTGTCCTAGCCCCGGGCGGGCCAGGGGGATTGCGCCCCGCAGGAGTAGAGTGCATGGAATGGGCTCGGGGACCCTCTGTGGTTGCGTGGCGTGGCGCGGGGCGGAGGGCGCAGAGAGGAGCTGGCGGGTGATGGGAAGTGCAGCCGACAGCATAACCATGTCTGGTAAATAGCGCGGGTTGGTAGGACTGGGTCTGGCACGAGATAAAAACGGCTTCACTGCAGAGAGGGTCTTTTCCCCCTTTGCAGGGGCCGTGGGCTACCGGGAACCCCCGTGCTTTGGATCAGGCTGGGATCTGGGACAGCAGCCTGGTGCAGCCTACTCCCCACCCCCAGAGTTCAATCTCCTGTTTTTTCGGATGGAGGTGGAGCCTCGGTGGTCCCTCCGCTGAACCTGGCAGGGGGGAAAGCCGGGCTGCATTCGGGCCGGCAGCCGGAGCTAACCACACCAGGCAGGAAGGGGTTAAGGTGGCGCTCTCGCTCGCGGCCAGCTGGAAGGTCTGGTAGCCGGCTCTGAGCAGTGCAGGGAGCGCGCCCCGCGGAATCCCGGCTGGGGCCCGGGGCGATGGGGAGAGGGCCCAGACCCCTCCCCGCCCTGGGGCCGGCGGGATTGGGTCGGCAGGGGGCCAGGCCGGAAGCCAGCCTTCTCCAGGCTCCCCATCTCACGGCTGCCAAGCCGCCTAGCAGCCAAGCAGGCTGAGCGTTTGTTCAGCGCTCCCTGCCGAGGAGATGTAAGGGATTTTCTCTTGGGGAGAAATCAGTGGTCGAGCGCCTGGCCAGCTCAAATGCCACCCGGCCCAGAGGGAGGTCTACGGCCCAGGGATCCCGGAGGGAGAGTAAGTTCAGCGACTAGGCCATCCGGATTTCTACATGGGTGACCTTGCTGCGTGTGGGGTCTCCCTGGATGAGCTCTGAATGAGTGCGCGGGTTGGGAAGGGGGTGGGGTGCTTCTTCTGCCAGGACACGGTTGAGGTCAGAGCTTGTAGTCAGACTGCGGAGAGGAAGTCCTCCCCTTGAGAGATGTGTGTCCTGACATGGGGTAGGGGTGGGGGGTGCTTTGCCGGAGTCGCTCGTTATGGCAGCTGGAAACGAGGGGTCTGGATTAGCTTGGAGAGGCCTCTGGAGAAGGCAGCCCCGTCAAGCCTGAAGGCTTGTTCCCTGGGGGGGGGGGGGGGGGGAAACGTGTTTCCAGCTGATGGGAAGAAAACCTGCCCAGAAGAGGCTGGGAAGCTAAGGGGTAGTTCTCAGCCATGAACAGCCAAAATGAAAGGTTGTCACGGGGCTTGTCACCTGCAGTGAGGGGAGCTGCCCAAGCCCTCCTAAATCTTGGTACCAGCTGCCCCAAAGCCACGGTTCCACCTTGCTGCTCTGTTTTCCAGGCAACGTCACACCTCCTGAGGACAGCCAGGAGGACTCCGGCTTTTGCTGAGCTGTGCATCTTACCTCCTTCTTTCCAAAGGCTCCAGACCTGCTGTTCTCAAGTCCTGTATGCCCCTGGCCAGGCACCCCACTGCCCTTGCAGCCCAGTCCAGCCCTAGAGCTCACCTCCAGGACCTGGAGCCTGCCCTCCTGCCCAGAATGACTCACCATTATTTCTAGCTCAAGTGAGAAGACGTGATGGGGAGTTGGGCTGCCTGTTTGTGGATCGAGGATTCCTACAGCATCTGATCTGCTTCACAAGGAAGAGAGCCAGAGGTTCCTGCCTGGCCAGGTAAATCAATCTATCATTTAATAACAGCCGTGTGTAAAATCATGGGGTGGGATCAGTGAAGAAGGACTAGGTCCAAGATTCCAGGGTGCAGGTATATGTGAGACATCAGTGCCCTTCCTGGGGCAGGGGTCCCTTCCAGCCTCCTAGTTGGGTTTTATACCCCAGGATGCTGTGTGGTACAGAGGGGGACTGTCTCAGCCCTCCCCAGTGCAAGGCATTCCAGAGCTTCCTTGAGAGATTCCTCCCTGCTTCTTCTGGCCCCAGCCAAGTTACAAGGTGAAAGTAATTCTGCTGTTTGGTGGTGGTGGTGATGGTGGTGGTGGCGGTAGTAGTTGTCATGTTTCTGGACTCTTGGCTGAGAGATGGGAGACAGCAAGCAGCAACCCAGGTAGGGTTGCCAGTGCTGGTTGGTCTCATGTCCTTAACTGCCTCTGTCTTTCAGCCGAGCGAGGCTGCCTCTCCAGCTCTCGGAGAGCTTGGGGGGCTCTCCTGCAGGAGCTCAAGCTAATGCTTCTGTGTTTCCTGGGGCCGTTAGCAGCACCCTGAGCCCCCTGCCACCAGGCAGCTGGAAGGCATAGCGCGAGGCGCTCCTCTCAGTCCCAATTATGACAGTGGCCACTGGAGACCCAGCAGATGAGGCTGCTGCCCTCCCTGGGCACCCACAGGACACCTATGACCCAGAAGCAGACCACGAATGCTGCGAGAGGGTGGTGATCAACATCTCAGGACTGCGGTTTGAGACCCAGCTAAAGACCTTAGCCCAGTTTCCAGAGACCCTCTTAGGGGACCCTAAGAAGCGGATGAGGTACTTTGATCCCCTCCGAAACGAGTACTTCTTCGATCGCAACCGCCCTAGCTTTGATGCCATCTTGTACTACTACCAGTCTGGGGGCCGGCTGAGGCGACCTGTGAATGTGCCCTTAGATATATTTTCGGAAGAAATCCGGTTTTATGAACTGGGAGAAGAAGCAATGGAGATGTTTCGGGAGGATGAAGGCTACATCAAGGAGGAAGAACGTCCTCTGCCTGAAAATGAGTTCCAAAGACAGGTGTGGCTTCTCTTTGAATACCCAGAGAGCTCAGGGCCTGCCAGGATTATAGCCATTGTGTCTGTTATGGTGATTCTGATCTCGATCGTCAGCTTCTGTCTGGAAACACTGCCCATCTTCCGAGATGAGAATGAAGACATGCATGGTGGTGGGGTGACCTTCCATACCTACTCCAACAGCACCATCGGGTACCAGCAGTCCACCTCCTTCACCGACCCTTTCTTCATTGTGGAGACTCTCTGCATCATCTGGTTCTCCTTCGAATTTTTGGTGAGGTTCTTTGCCTGTCCGAGCAAAGCTGGTTTCTTCACCAACATCATGAACATCATTGACATTGTGGCCATCATCCCCTACTTCATCACTCTGGGGACAGAGCTGGCTGAGAAGCCAGAGGATGCCCAGCAGGGCCAGCAGGCCATGTCACTGGCCATCCTCCGTGTCATCCGCTTGGTAAGAGTCTTTAGGATTTTCAAGTTGTCCAGACACTCCAAAGGTCTCCAGATTCTAGGTCAGACCCTCAAAGCCAGCATGAGAGAATTGGGCCTCCTGATATTCTTCCTCTTCATTGGGGTCATTCTTTTCTCTAGTGCTGTCTATTTTGCAGAAGCCGATGAGCGAGATTCCCAGTTCCCCAGCATCCCCGATGCCTTCTGGTGGGCAGTCGTCTCCATGACAACTGTAGGCTATGGAGACATGGTTCCAACTACCATTGGGGGAAAGATAGTGGGTTCCCTGTGTGCAATTGCAGGTGTGTTAACCATTGCCTTACCGGTCCCTGTCATAGTGTCTAATTTCAACTACTTCTACCACCGGGAGACAGAGGGAGAGGAGCAGGCCCAGTACTTACAAGTGACAAGCTGCCCAAAGATTCCATCCTCCCCTGACCTAAAGAAAAGTAGAAGTGCCTCTACTATTAGTAAGTCGGATTACATGGAGATCCAGGAGGGAGTAAACAACAGTAATGAGGACTTTAGAGAGGAAAACTTGAAAACAGCCAACTGCACCTTGGCTAACACAAACTATGTGAATATTACCAAAATGTTAACTGATGTCTGATTGAAACCCATTAACATACTCGCAGCTCAATGGAACTAATGCAGATGTTGCATAATAGCCTGCATTGTAGTCAGTGTGTTCTACAGTGTGCATCTGGTTCTGCATGGAAAGCAATAGTCGTGCAAGTGACTTTTGACCTTTTGATTTTTGATTTAGAATGCAGAATATCTATCACAGCTTTCATGCAAATCTTCATCACCGGCTTCAGGGTTTGGGTTTCCAAAGATGAGCGTCACCTATGGAGCCAGGATTTCAGAAAGTCACATTGAGGCCACTTCATATCTAATATACGACCCACCATATCAGCACTCCCTTTCCTTCCTAGTTAAATGCACACAACACCTGGGAGATGCACTCCCCTCCTCCCACCCTGTCACCCACTTGAGCCCACCTGCCCCTTCCCAGAGGAACAACCATCATGGCTTAGCTTTAAAGCTCTGGCGATTATTCGAAAGGTCATTCCCATTTTTGCATTGAAAAGAACACACGGTACTGTGTGTGTTGGAACTACTTTCTGTGTCACAACCTGGGGTTTGTGAATTGCAGTTGCCAAGTAGATGCTCCAGAGGCTTGTGTTTCATAACGAAAAAATGCTGCATTCTGCTTTTTCTCTGTAGATGTGAGGAAAGCCTGGGGGAGGGACAGTTAGCATGACCCAATGTGAGTTGTCAAGTTTCAACATTTGTTCCATTAGGGCCTGTGGGGCGAAGGTACCAAACCAAGGGACCTCTCAGCTTCAGATTTCACCATTTTGCAGACTTCAGGGTCACCAGAAATATGTCTGATTTCTTCGTTTACACTGGAGTTTGCAGACATCTGCTTTCCTAGTGATGTGGCCCAGCTACACTGACACTGCAGTGAAATTTACCAGTGATGCGATAGAACTGCATGGGTGTTCATTGCATGAATCTCAATATTTAAAACACAGGAGATAACCTATTTTCTTAGTAGCCTACACAGTATTCATATTTAGAGTATTAATAGCCTTGGGATGGTTTTGAACTAGGGGTTTTTTCCCATCAGAAGGCAAAAGTCCTCCATCAGAGGGGGGGGGGGGGGAATAGGCTATTGGGAATGGGGAACCAAAATATCTGGCCCTCCAGCCCACCCATCTCTGTTCTTTCAGTGGAAGAGCAGACCTCTGTCAAGCCAGAAGAATGAGCAGGGAAAGCAGTGTCTAAACACTCACACGACTGCACCTTAGGAATCAACCTAGTCATAGACATAACTGCACCAGGGCATCAGTCCTGAGGATAGGCAGGTCTGTGGATCCAGTGTATATAACTATATATTGGGTATTTCTCTCTCATGTGCTCCTCTACCTAGCTAGTTATAGGAAAAAAATGCATTTGAACATTGTATAAGCTTATGCAATATTTTTGACACAGGGCAATTTATGCATGTGTTTGACTATGTGCACTAGAGTATATATATATATATATATATATATATATATATATATATATATATATATACACACGTGTGTGTATATGATTGTATACACACACACACATATATATATATATTCATTCTCTGGAGTTCAGGTTCAGGAGTAAATCCATTGCTCAGTGGGTTGGTAAGAAGCCCATTGGGTTCACTGGTCTCATTGGTAACCCCACTGGGCCTGGGTTTGCTGCCATTGCCTCAGATACTCCAGTCTTCATGGATTCCTAGACGTTAGAATTGTCTTTCTGCCCTCCATGTGCTGCAGCTTCAGTTTCCCATGGCTGAAGCTTGTCTTACTGAGTGCACAAGGGCCCTAGGGCCCTCACAGCTCCAGCTGTCCTGGGCCAGACCCACCCCAGGCCTCCTCTGGATGGTCCGTCCTATTATCATCTCCATTCTCATCTTGCCCACCGTCCCCCTCCCAATTTGGTTTTCAGTATCATTTGGCTCTGCATCCATCACTTTCATGAACCCATCCCTAGAGAGCCAGTCTGGATCCCCTGCTTTGAAACAAAGAATAGGACTCCTAGGAACCAACTTCCATTGATTTGGACTTAAAGGGAGACCCTTCTATGTGGAAATTTCTAAAATCTAGGACCAAGGGTTATGATCCCTAGACAATCCAAAACTGTCATTTCAATCACCAGAATCAATTTTTCTCCCCCTTTAACTGGGAACCAGAGCTGATTTAAAAAAAAGAGAAAGAGAGAGAGAGAGAGAATCGATTAAAAAAAAATTGTCCCCCATCTTACCAAAACAGGTAAGGAATAAGTGATCACTGTATAGCCTAAAAATAGAGAGTAGATTAAGCCTGGGATTGGGGAGGGGATGGCTTTTGCCTCACCAGACTGGGTTTTTAGACTTTTTACACTGTGGCTTAAATTTCCCAAATGTAGCAAATCATGATGGTAGGCTGTCTAGTGGTGGCTCCTGCCCAGGTCTCACTGTTGGCTAGTTGGCACCTTCATTTGTCTTGGGGGGGTGGGGCACCAGCTCAGGGTGCTAGGCCCAGGGTGCTCATTAGTTCCTGGTCACCCACATCCCCAGGTATCTGCAGGGCATTTCATGCCCAGCACAAAGCCTCTGTGCGTCTCTTCCTCTCCTTCATGGGAGGTGGTGCTGAATTTCAGGACATGGGGTTGGAGGGACACAGACCTTTGGAAAATAGAAAATTAAAACAATCCACACTTGAGACCTATGTCAGATGGTAGATACCTTTCCATAGCATCCTTGGCTGGGGACTATAAAATGTCCAACACACATACATGCACATCTACCCCCAAAATGTTTATCCAGTGTTGCCACACACAAATACAAAACATGCAACCTACATGTGAAATACACACAGGCCAAATTCATATAAAAGGCAGACACAGAAGATTTATGGTTTTACCTAGAGGTGAAATATACACACTCAGTCTGGACATAGACTGTACTTACCAAAACATAGAACACCTCCAAGAAAACTACATACCCCAAGTACAAACACACAACCTGTAACTCAGATGCAAAATACACAAAACTACATGGACGCAGTGAATGTGCGTCAAAAAATACACAAACGATGCTTCACTATTATTTCTGTACACTCAGGGTGTACACACAATGCACGTATATTTACACTAGGCTTACAAAATACAGCACTCGTGCCCAAGAAGACGCAATAGACACGACATACAGACATGTACTCAGATCCATTGCTCTGCCCCCAGATCTATAAATTAATGGACACAAACAAAATAACACCTTTAATCACCTATTCCTAGCTCATATTAGTATCTCAGTTTTCTCCAAGGAGTCTTTTCCTCTCATCACTTCTCTCACCTGCAGATTTTAGTCCTGAAAAAGGAACCCCTGAGGTTTCAGGCAGAAAGATGGGCTACCACATCAAGCACAGGAATCTTGTGAACCTGTTCACCTTCCTCCCACCAGCACCCTAGGGTGTGGGGTGTGGAAGATCCCAGGATGGCCAGCAGCCTGATATGGACCTCCTTATCATGACCTTTCCCTCAAAACAAGTCCACCCCAACAGCCCAGCAGCTCAGGTTCCCCGCCTTCCATCATCTGAAATCCTCAGATTCGGCGCCATTCTTTTAAAAGCAGTGATGGCCCCTGGGTCCCAAACCACAGTAAAGATGTCCCTAACACACAGACCTTTTTGCCCCTCCATCCCCAGCAGCTTTGTGAGGGACCAGGTCAGAAAATTGAAGCTCTGTATAGACTTGCCTCACAAAATGAGCCACCCTTACTTCCTGTGGCATTTCACTTGCTCTTGGGCACAATTCCAATAAGGACAGTTCCTGATTGCCTTCTATGGGTGTTCAGTTCCAGGCCTGCCCCCCTCCTCCCCGCCAGGGCTCCCAGGGATGTCCTGCCTTCCATTCAATTTCTGTGCCTTCAGGAAATGGCAAACCAATTCAGCTTAAGTCAAACATGATTAAGGACATAAGCCTAAGGCCAAACAAGCAAATAACACACTGATTTAAATACTTTCTAAGCTTACCCACCATCTTGGATTACCTTGGAACTGGTTCCTCCAGTTGGTAGGACTAGGTGAGAGCTAAGTGAAGTTTGACAAAGGCTTCACCTGCAGTGGAATTAGGAGTTTCTGTGGGCCTGGGGATCAGGCACCATGGTCCCTCCTCCTGCACTCTGCACTCTCCCAGGTGTGACTCACCCTTCCCTCCTAAGGATGGTCACAGTTCACAGTCCCCATGAAGGAGGCAATAACGGCAGGAAATGGACACATGGGTCCTCCATGTGTGGTTTGGAGTCCCTCAGTGGGCCTTGTGCTTCCAAGCCAAGAAACCAGTTTTCCTTTTGTCTCTACCAGATGCCTCTGTGGGCTCAAACTTTCAAGCAAGTTGGGGTTTTCCAGAGACTGGAGAGAAAGAGGCCCAGGAAACATAGAAAGGTTTTCAGAAAAAAAAAAAAAAAAGGGAAACAACTCAGCTGGTCAAATTTCAAAGTAAACTTTTCAGGAGCCAATTTTTAATGAATGGATTAATTAAAATCGAATTAAGAAGCCAAAATCGAATTTAGTTGAACTTATGTTTCCTTTGCTCTCTTCCTTCCTTCCTTCCTCTCTGCTTGCCTCTAACCTGCTCAACAGGGCTTCTGAGGATGGCACAGCCATGTCACTGGGTGCCCATATGAGGAGGGCTTCAGGACTAGCTTGTCCTGCCTCCTCTGTCTGGATTTCTCCCTCCATTATAGTGGATTCTGGCCAACTTCCTCAGAGTAAGCTATAAAGTATCAGCGTCAACTCATGTTGAGAGAAGGCAGCACCCTCTGAAGACCCTCAGAGGTCTTCAGGTCCAGTGCTTTCCGTAGTAGTGGGAAAGAGAGGCAGAGGCCAACCTCCCCCAAAGGAAACTATAAGACAATGGCAAATTGTGTATGGGGGGGTGGCATCATTACCCCCTGTGGCAGGCAGGGAAGCACGGTACTTTGACTTGTTTACCCAGGAGAGAGAATGGTACTGCTGAGCCCTGGTCCCTAGGGCTCTCCTGGAACCCAATGTCATAACAACCTGCATGTGAGTGATGGCCAACCAGTCTGAGAGGGCCATAATGTCCAGGGTATTCCTTGGTTACACAATGGAGAGTCCCCCATCCTTGGTGAAGTGTCCATGGTCAGGTTTGACCTTAACCTTATTAACATCAATAGCCACACCACAAGCCAACCAGTAGGGAGTTGGATGTCGGGAGCTGTCTCAGCAGCCATTGAGACCATCGTGTGTACTCTCGAACTTGGTCCTTGTTGAGACCAACCCCATGTCCCCATGGAGTAGCGAGCAGGGACAGGTAGCAGTGGGGGATCCGGTACAAGCTGGGATGAGTCTGTTCCTCAAAGTAATCTAGTCCACTTTCCCCTTCTTTCTGTTTTCCTTTCCACCAAAGCTCAGTTCCATCTTTCATAGTTTGTACTTAAATATTCTTAAAAGAGGAAAAGTGCAATAAAATCAACAGTGACTGTTTCCTTTAGCAATAGCTCTTTCAAAAATCTTGCTCTCAGGACTGAAAAGTGATAGACAGTATCTGGATTATCAGATAAGGCCCTTGACTTCTGGGCATTGGTTCACATTCTCTGTAGTTCCTTCTTCCCACCTGTTCCCATGACTCCTGTCCTGAGATCTGACCCTCTGGAATGGACACAGATGCAGATGGGCGGCACACGCACGAAGGCCCGTGAGAAGGCATTCTTTGTCACTCTCTTTCCTGTGTGCATCTCTCTGTCTCCAGGTGTCTTTCTGTCCCTCTCTCCCTCTGCCTGCCCCTTCCTCCCCACTCTCACACAGCATCCTTGCCACCTCTCGGCCCTGAAACCTTGAGTTGAGTGACCTCATGCCAGCCCATCTTGTTGACTCCGGGTCAGTCTGGCAGGGTGTAATGGAAACCTGCAGGAAAGCGCTTACCAATAGATGAGAATAAAGCATCCTGAGCCATTACAGGAGATCATTTCCATGCACTAAAAGCCATTACTTGATCCTTTTGCTGCACCTCCTCTCCTCCCCAGGGAGAGGGATACTGAGGGAATGTGGCCCTGGAGATTTGCACCTGGAATCGGCAGCCTAGGCAGATTCAGAAATTGCCCTCTGACTCTCCTTCACAATCAGCTGACTTGCTCAACCACAGGGACTCCTTGAGAGCTTCAAAGGAAAGCAAGTTCTTGGCGTGGGTAGACGTCTATAGGCATTGAAGTTTGGGGTGGTTGGGTCATGACATTAGCGAGACGAAGACCCCACCACCCACTGCACAGATTTGCACACCTCTCCAGGGGCTTCAGAGGAGTCCTCTTTGCTGAAACATCTGTGAGGTTAAATATTCAGGCTGGACAATCCAGGGAAGGCTGGCAACCCCAGGGTCCCATTTCATTCTTCTTCGGTCTACCTTGCTCTATACACATGTGTACAACCAAACCTCAGTTAACCAACAGGGAAAAACTCAGGGAAGGGAATGTCCTGGTTGCTTTGCCATTCTGGTGATTTGAGTGGGAGTGGGAACACGTGGGGTTCAGCCTTTGTTATTGAAAAATAGTATTTCCTAAGTAGGTTAGTCTAACCTCTCCTGCCTTAGTAAGTAGAGCATTTGAAGATGACAGAAGACCTTGCCTGGCTCAGGGTCAACCTCCTAAACCTCAGTGCTCAGTGTATGGTGCACAGAAACGGAGACGAAGCCGACCAAAGAGACAGGCGAATGATGCTGGCTGTTGAGACAGATGTAGAAACGGGCTGTTGGGCACATCCAGGCTTATCAGATAATGACCTTGCTGTCCCTGGCCCCTTTCTACTGAAAGTATAGTAAGAAAACATAATTCTTGCCAATCAAGGTTTCAGTTGATTGGTCCTGAGTTATTAGAGGTTTTCCATATATACATATGTCTGTGTGTGTATATATGTATAGTATATGTATATATGTATGCCATTATTTCAAAAATTACACGAATATACATGAACCCATCCCCTAGTTTCACTAATGTGGAATAAATTTGGCAATCTAAGGAACGAATCGCATTTGTTTGACTTTTTTAAATGAACTTCCTTTGCATTCTTTCCATCTCTCCAGATCTACTCCTTTTCTGTTTAGGCAGTTCTTTAATTAAATAAATAAATAAAATAAAAAAGAACAGGCTCCAGGATCACCTCTTTCCTTTCCCTCCCAGGTGGCCGCCTGACTCAGGGATAAAAGGGGGAGTGTGATCTAAGGGCCCGGTGCTTTTTCGCCTTTATTCTGTCTGCCCTGGTTGGCTGTCACCTCCTCACTGAGGACCTGAAAAGTTATGCCAAACTTTTGTAGCCCTGGGGAAGTGGAAAGCTTAAAGATCTGGCAAAGGACTGATCTATTTAGCTTTCTCTGTGTCCGTAGTGGTGCCCTAGGTTTGAACGGTATGCATTGGGAAAGTAACATTTCAAATGAAGCATCAAAGATCCTCTCTGCCCTGTGGAAGGTGAGGTTTGTGGCAAATGATGGAACTATAAAAACTATCCTGTTGTTCCTTCTGACCAAATCTAGGTTGAGGGTGTGGGCATTAGAGCAACTGTAATTCAGTCACCTCTTTGGGGCTGAGCTGTGCATTATCACTTGATACAGCTAGGCTTGAGCAGATCATACTCTCTTTCCCCATCATGCCTGGCAGTGTGTTAGATTCATGGGGAAATCACATCTCTCCACCTCACCTCCTGCATTTGACTGTGCACTCTGCTTGGACGGGGGTAGGAAGGATTCCTCACCATTATCTGGAGCAATGGAGGTGGTGTAGGGATCACATCTGCTGCCATCTCCTCACACTTCCAGGAGCCCTTCAACCTGGTCAAGTCAGCCATGATCAGATAGTGGAAGCCCTTCACTGAGACTTCACATGACTGGCCGATGAGCTAGGGCACTTGATTATCCCGTCTGGATGGATAATCTTAGACGGTATGACCTTCAGTATGGAAACTAATATAACTTCTGTGCTCCTAAAATAGTCAGATGTGTTCCAGATGAGTTTGCAGCTGAGAAGTCCCTGCATCATTTCACTGACGGATGCACAGGGCAGGTAGGATTACATAATAATGTGGACAGCTGCTGCAACCTCTAGATAATTGAGGGCAGTGTAGATGTGGTTGTGTACTAGGACCTTTGGTAGCTACCCAGAGGACTTCGTGCTGTGTCTCTCAGTCCTTGTGAGAGGCCTCCGATCCCTGCCTATCTCCTTGAAAACAACTCCCTAGATGCTGGTGCCTTGTTTGGATGAGTGCATAAACACTTTGGATGCTGGAGAAAGCAAGAGGAGGAGCTGGAAGAAAAAGAATAGTGAAGGGTTCACCTTGCTACCAGACAACTTCCATGTCAGCTGCTGACATTTTTGCCTTTTGAGCTTATGAAGCATAGGGCAAGGACTTTAACCTGCCAGGTGGGGCTAGAAGGGAGCAAACCAGCTCTAGGCTAAGAACTGCAATTGAAAAGCAAGAGGAGAAGCCTGGCTGGCTTGGATGAGGGTGAGTCTCAGCTCCTGAGGGTTTGAACATGCTCTGTGCTTGCCCCAGTTCTGTCTTCACGTGGGATCCAGCGACCCAGTTTCCTTTTGTTGTCGTGCTTGGATGGTTCCTTCATTTGAAGGGCCCCAGGAAGCTGGAAAGTCCCATGATTGAGCTCTAGCCTGCTGAGCAAACAATGCCCTAGCCAAATTGGCCTCTTCCTGGGTTTCTGCATCCCTGCACCCCTCTCTTCACGGAGGGTAATCTTGGAATGGTCAGGATTAATGGTGCCAGCAATCAAGGAGGATTCTCTCATTTCCATTAGGGATATAGCTATAAAGCTCATGGGTGGGGGATGCTGTTTCCTTTTTCAGACCTGTGTGCTTATGCATCTCCTGTTTCTGGAGATGTGTGTGTGTGTGTGTGTGTGTGTGTGTGTATATATACACACACACACACATTTGTATGAAATGGCCGCTCATTTAAGCTCACGCAGCACACATTCTAATTAAGGTTTCCACTAGCTTCCTTGCATGACTCTGCAGCTGCCCTCCTGTGTCCTGTCTCTCGTAATTGCTAAAAACTTAAAGAGGAGAGGCAGACAAATAAGCCTCCATGGGATCAATAGGAGAAGGAACTCCAAGGCTAATGGCAAAGCTTCGTAAGGATGATGCCGAAAGGGAACTGGGGTATCCATGGTGATAAGAGACAGGGGACCAATGGGAGCTGAAGGCGGAGCAGAACTTGTGGGGAGGACTCATGGGAGTTGGGAGTCATTTAACTATTTGTTTGCTTCATGAAAATTTAGACACCAGCTGTAACTGCATTGCACAGGATGTATAGATATTATCATTCTTGCTGACATATTCTGGAAGCTTTCAGCCCCACCAATACTGCCCAGCCCAGGACTTCTGCAGCTGAGAGTTCCTGTGTCAGTAGGGTCTGATACTGTACATAGGTTATACATATATGTGTACATATGTGCCTCAATGAACATTGCCTGTCCACCAAATCATGGGTGTACATAGACTTCATAGAGCTCCACAGTCTTTTTGTAAATATTGACACAAGTAAATAAGTATATAAATATATATTATTGAGGATTTATTTTAACATCATTCTGTGTGAAATGAAAAATAAATAAATAAAATTTTTGACAGACATTGACAGTTTCTGCCTTCTTTCTTGCCTGCTTGGGTTGTCATCCCTATAAAATGCAAGTGTAGTTCCCTCTCCCTCATTTCAGTTTCTGTAGCCCTGAGAGCCCAGTCAGAGACCAGGGCAGGTCAAGACAGGGGGCTCAAAATGCATCCAGGGACATTGTGGCTGTGTGCCATCTGTCCTGGCCTGAGAGTCCTGTGCACCCAAAGCAGGGGCCGGTGAGTGAGTGGGTCAGTGGGGGTGTTTGAGATCTTCACCGGTACTCAGCACTTCTTGTGTCTCAGAGTGTGTGGGGAAGGGGGACTGGTATAGACAAGAGGCAGTCTGGGAGCCATTTAACTCCTGCTGCACCCACCCTTGCAGGTCCTGTTGTCCTCAAACCCACTCCCACTTCTGCCCATTACTGCTGGTGCCCGGAGTCTGACCCACCCAGGCTCTCAACTCCCAAGTGAGAATGTCTACCTTGGCCTCCCAAGAATGAGCCTGATTCTCCAGCTAGGCCAGATCCCTTCTATGGGTGTCTCCTGTGAGACATGGAATTCCTGCCTCCAAGGAGCTGGGGAGAGTTTTGTCTGTCCCTGACTATTTAGATCTTATTAGAGGTAAAGAAGGAATAAATGGGTGGAAGCTGAAACATCAGAGTTCCTTGTTTGTATTTCAAGTGTCGACTTCCCCAGCCACTTGAGCACCCTGAATGCTTCTGTACTTGGCCTAGGGCACCTAATTCAGGAAGGGCTTATTGAGGCAGAGAACAAGTGAGAGAGCCCACCTAGGTCTAGGGGCCAGTGTGTTGGGCAGGAGAAGCAAAATAGTATCAGCCCAACTGAGAAACAAAGTTAACCCCTGAGGAAAAAAAAAAAAGCATCTCCAGCATCAATTTCTGGGTTTGTCCCCACCAGTTGTGTCACCCTGGTACTTACTCTTGCATGTTCCTTGAACCTCAGGTTCCGCCCCTCCGTAAAAGGAATCACAAGGCCTGCCCCATTTTACGAAGATTAAACGAACAACGGGCACATAGTGGGAGCTCAACAAAAACATGTGAGTGTGTCCTCACCTGGAATCCCAGGCACAGACTTTTCTGTTTCACTGATCCCTGTGGGGCAGTGAAACAGCAATCTGAGATGTAAAAGCTGAAGGATGTTCCAACCTCTTCTGGTCTGGGGCTTCCTAATCTGGACCAAGGGGTACAAAGTCCAGATGATTGAGAAACCTATTGAAATTATATATGACCTGTGGCAGTACGGTCATTTTTCCATGGAGTTGCCTGCAGCTCTCCAAAATGAAATAAAACTATGAGTCAAACCCTGATTCCTGGTCTTCTCCCCTATGTTCAGGATGGAAAAGTGATCTGCCCAGTTATTTTCACTTATTCAAAAATATTTTTGCACTTGGTGTTTTGGATACCCTGCCCTGTGGGTCTTCTGGTCAAGAGGGTAAGATGAAAATTCACCCAAAGTGAATTAGTGGGCCCACACACAGCCAGGCCAGGCTTCTGCCCCCCCCCCGGACTTCTCTGCAGTCCCTCTTGCAGTACAAGAGATGGCAAGCCCCAGAATCCAAACCTGAGGCATCTCCCTAGGCTGGCTTAGCACTGCAGAGGGGGAAGGAGTACATATTTTGATGTGAAATTAATGTTATTTAAATTATATGCAAATGAGGCAAATCTGCATCTCTTTGATCCATTCTCAACCTGTCAGCTCTGATTATTGCTCCCTTTTGTTCCCACAAGACACCCCCCTCATTAAGATCAGTAAACAACACACCCACAGGTCATTGGCTTATCAAGTAAAGATGGAGGCTCTTTGGCCCTATACCTATTTCAGCCTGAACGCTAGCCAGGGCTGCGGATGCTTAAGGGTTTGTAGTGAAGCTAGGAGGAAAATCTCCCATCTGCACAGCTGCCTGTACCAAGGAAAATCTGCCTCTCTCTAGGTCTGTTGCAATGGGAGATTTACACTTTCTGTTTCACTGATCATTTGGGGAGCCACCAACAACCATGTGAGAAGTAAAACTACAGCCATTCTGTTGCCATGACTTGTGGTGTATTCTCTCCCAGCCTAAACGAAGCATCTTGAATGTCTTGTTAATCTCGAAACTGCCAGCATCTGACACCGTGCCAGGCACAATAAATATTCATTGAATGAATGAATATCTGCATCACACAGTCATAATGGCAACCAAGATATTCACGTCACTGGGACTGCAGAGATCCAGATGATGTTCTAGGACCCCTAACCTCTGTATCTCTCCCTGGCCCTACAGGAGACTTCTAATCTCTCTGGCATCAGACTGGCCATTAGGTGCAGCTGGTATGGGTCATCTGACCTAAATGCCCTGTGGTTAAAGTGTGCCACATCTCCCAGTGCCCTGTTCCACAGATTGCAGAGAGGTTATCCTTGAGAGCCCACAGAACCCCGCCAGCCCCAAGGCCAAACCCTTCTCATATCCCAGTGGATGTCCCATATCCCACTCTAAAGCATTCCTCCACAGTCCCCAAATTCTAAGGCAGCAGAGGTCTTACAGCCTCTGAGTCAGGGTTGGGTTCCATTCCTGGCTCAACTGTACAGTATACTAGTTATGGCCTATTTTCTATGTGACCCTACAAGGAAGTTAACATGCCACACAGATGAAGGTTTAAAGAAAGATATAGAGATAGCCATTATCTCTATCTATCTATCTTTCTATATCTATATCTATATCTATATCTATATATATATATCCATATGTCAAGGCCTTACTTTGTGCCAGATGCCCTGCAAAGTGCTTGACATACATATATCATTTACCTATCACAACAGTCCCATGAGGTGGGTATCATTATGCTTATTTTACATATTAGGAAACTGAACCTGAGGTTATACCTGTAGCCCAACGTCACACACCTAAATAACTAGCAGAGCCTTTATGGGGGTCAAAGCCCATTTTTAATAAGTGTTACAGTTAACAGATGCTAGTCCTTCTGTCACCACCACCTTCCTCCCCCATGTGATTGAGGGTGCAGAAATATGTCTACAAGAAGACAAACAAAAACTTCATCTGTCCTAGGAACCTTGGTATAATAAAAATAGTCCATCTAGACTGGTTGAGCTGAGATGAGACTGGCCTTGATCTTGGCTCTCAGCCCCATCTTGCTGAGCCCAGGGATGGGGAAGGTGATATCCCAGAGAAGAAGCATCTCACTCCCCCTTGTCATGGAGGAAGCCAGACCAGGCAGGGAGAGCCACTGTTTTATTCCCACCTCAGGGATGGTAGTCTCCTGCCCAACATTGGTCACAGAAACAAGGCTGACCCCAGCTGAGCTCTGCCCAGCTCCTGGATCCAAAGCCCCCCTTCAGCCCACAGCTACCTAAGGGTCCAACACAGCAAGTAACAGACACCTTGTGTACACATTCCACAGTCCATCCATCCAGACCTTGGTGTGCCTATCATCCTTGAATCAGGTGGGGACAAAATTCCTAGCAACACTGTCCCAGCTCCCCAACCCCTGGCTCCACTGTTCCTAGTGCCCCTTCCTGCCCAAGATGCTTCAAATGGGGGCTCAGCAGGCGAGTTCTCCTCCTTGGCTCTCAAAGGTGAAAGGGGATAGAAGCACTTTGAGAAAAGGTGCGCACATGCACACACACACACACACACACACACACACTTCTAGTCACACAAATACCTGCAAAGTCCTAGGTAACCCCTGAAAACTACAAATCAAGTGTAAGAGGGGTTCCTTGTACAGGTAGATATTCAGTAAATATGTTGATGGAACAAGTGATTCAAATTCAACTAAGGTACAAGGAACACGAAGCATGGGCCAGTGTCGTGCTGGGCAGCTTGCCTGTTATCTCATTTAACTCTTACCGTTCTGTGAGATCATTGTGGGCATCTCAATTTTCAGATAAGGAAATTGAAACTCAGGGAAGCAAAGTAATGGCCTGTGCTCACACAGGTAACGAGAGGCAAATCTAGAACTCAGATCCCAGACAGCATGAAACCCTCGAAGCCCTTGACATGCCCTTGATAGGAAACCACAGCCACCTAGTGGGCTCAGCACCCAACTGGGACCAACATAACGGCATAGACTCCCACTCTGTCCCCCTAAGCCCTCTGATGTCTGGGATCCTCCAGGGAAATATGAGAATGAGGTCTCCTGGGGAGGAGTCGGGAAGTCCAGGGATTGCAAGGTGCGATGGAATCGAATCACCCTCCTCGGGTATTTTTGTCAATGGGATTCACGAGACTGCAAGGTGTGAATGAGCAATCGCTATATTAAAAGTTCCTGAAAAAGCTTTCCTTCCTTGGGTGTCAGCTCCTGAGAAAGAGAAAGGAAAGAAGGCTGGGGGGTTCTGAGTCCCCTCCTCAGCCCCCTCCTCAGCCTGCTCCTCACTGTAAGGAAAGCTTACATTTTCAGGATCCAGGAAGTGAGTGGATCTTTACCCTACTCTTCTTCCTCCTTCTGGTGGCCTGACCAGTCTCCTCATTGATAAGCTGGGGTGAGAGTGGAGAAATGGCAATCACAGGGGAGCCGTGACGATGAAGTTGGATTTGGAAGTTATTAGAAGTTACCTGCCATTAGGCTTGCCATGTAGTAAGTGCTCAGTAAACGGGTGCCTGCTATTCTGGGGGAGGACATTCCCCAGGAAGCAAAGAGCCCCAGCCCTGGGCTCACAGCTCTGCACTGGAATCCAGCCCTAGCTTCCTAACTGGGGATTATTGATAGATAATTGACCAGGCTGAATCCCAACTTTCTATCTACAAGGTGGGGGGACACTGTTGTTGTAGGGATAAGGACCTCAGGGAACTGACAGGGAATTGGTATAAAACTAGTGCTGGGCTCTGTGGATCAGAGGTAAATAAGATATCATCCTTGTGCCCAAAGTCTCACATAATAGGGCCATCCCTCTCCTTGGAAGGAAAAGGTGGAGGAAAATTTTAAATGAGTGCAGGGAAGACATGAACCCTGAACCAGCAATAGCACATAAATAGGCTTTTAATAAGTGATTGCAGAATGAATGAATGAT